CCAGTCTATTTAGTGCCACATTTTCCCCATTTTTGTGCTTTTTGGTGGTGGTTTTGTCGTTTAAAGGGACCCTCAAGCATGGCGCTGAAGTGCTGTCTAGCATTCCTAAGCGCAGTAAGGCTGTGATGAGTTCGATGGAGAAAATATGCCTGCTAACACATTAACTGCCATGTGAGTTGTGTTTAACTCAGGCTAGTTTTGAGCCCAGGACCTCGTGAAGCATATGTAACTCACATGTCTCTTCACCTTGGGAGCCAGGCGGACAATTTTTCAAGTTGCATGTAACTCATATACAGAAAACAATTAAAAAAAAAAACCCAAATTTTTCATTAAATTAGAGAGGCTCATTATGTTTTTGAAGTTTTTATTCTATTTTCTTAATAAAACATCATGACCCCAAGGAAAAAAAAATTTTTTCTAGTGTGGCAATGTGTTAAATATGCTTCATTCAGGCATGCATTGCCGTGTTATTGGCCACGAGCGTTCAATGTTAATGAATCGACAATACATATTTAAAAAGGTGTCTTCAAACAGAAACACACGTAACTTAAGATTATGTATTGATTGGTTGATGAAAATGTTGTGACCAGAGGCTTGCAGGAACCTAACCCTGTATTTCCCCTGGGAGCAATGGTTCAGTGTTCACGAATCCAGTGTTTGTGGTGACTTTATAGAACATAACTAACCATGAATAACAAGAGTTAATTGTATTTAAACATGGACTAGAAGGAAACACATCCAACTTACAGTAGTTGGCTTTTAGAGCAAGGTGTGGGGAAGGAAGCCAGGGGTTTTATCAGTATAGAGCGACATTTAAGGCTGAAAATGAACATCACAAAATGTTAACTGTTATTGAATGGTGCTGATATGACTGTTTGTTTTTATTTGTAATTATTTAACTTCCTAAAGTAAAAAATCCCTAGAAGGAAGCAGTTGGGAAAGAATGGCCTAAGAGATAGTGACCACCACTAGAAGTGTGTTTCCATGTGCTTCAGTGTACATATACTGAGAGCTGAGTATGAAGTCAGCTGTAGGGTAAGCACTACTAGTCTAAAAGTGTAATTTTGAAAAGTGAGTAATTGCTATATGGCCACAGCTGGTCATAATACATAGCAATGCTGCCCTGCCTCAGCATTAACTATGGCACAGAGCTAGCATTATAAAGCTTTCATCAGTTTGAAAGAAATCTTATGGATTTACAGTCAGGAGATGCTGTTGCTTGAAATTCTAGGGCATGACAATTTATTTCTGTCTAGCATCTGATAACATTTCACAGCCAAATTATAAAGCCATATTGCTGTGTCAATTAGAAATCACACCACCTGTAGCTTAAAATCTCTCCAACAGATGTAATAGGATATTTAGGTACTCTGTCCCAAGACAGAGCAACCAGGTACCAGGAAACTACATTTTCTTCCCTATTTCAATAATTAATATAGCTAAGTATAATCTCAAAATACCTGTCTCCCTATGCAAAATTAAAAGAATACTATTTGACACATGATTGAGAAGGATGATGTGACCTGAAATCCCTAGGGGGAAAATAAAAACATCTGTGCATGCCAAGTATCTCTGTAAGTAAACTAAGAGTAAAAGAACACTTGGAGATGGCCAGGCGCCGTGGCTCACGCCTGTAATCCTAGCACTCTGGGAGGCCGAGGTGGGCGGACTGTTTGAGCTCAGGAGTTCGAAACCAGCCTGAGCAAGAGCGAGACTCCGTCTCTACTAAACATAGAAAGAAATTAATCGGACAACTAAAAATATATAGAAAAAAAAATTAGCCGGGCATGGTGGCGCATGCCTGTAGTCCCAGCTACTCGGGAGGCTGAGGCAGAAGGATCGCTTGAGCCCAGGAGTTTGAGGTTGCTGTGAGCTAGGCTGACGCCACGGCACTCACTCTAGCCTGGGCAAAAGAGTGAGACTCTGTCTCAAAAAAAAAAAAAAAAAAAAAGAACACTTGGAGATGCTATAATTTAATGGGAAGAGGAGGTACTATAGATGTAAGACAATTTTTGCAAACTTAGTTCCACTCTAAAGGATGAATTAACTTATGCCAAGAATTTAATAAGCATAGAAAAGTTTGCCAAATACTAATATATTCATTTTTTAATTATGCAAAAGTATTTCAAGAGTTATCCATCCACATCGAATTATACAAGAGCCTCAATTAACTAGAACCAGGGGAGGAAAAGGGTTGCTGTCATCTCATTATCTGAATTCTCTGATTGGTTAGGGTTTAAGCAGAAGTGCCTTGTTCCTGAAATTTCTAAAATGTATCATACAACTTCTTGTCCTGTGTGCAGAATACTACTAATGCATCTAATATTTATTGAACATCTGCAGTGTAACTAGTACTGTTGAATACTGTTTACTCACTTATACCTCACATATAACTATGTAGTCAGGACTCAGGCTGCCCATTTTAACTGATGAGGAAGCTGCATGAAGAGATTAGGTAAAAAGAATGAATGTAACCTTCCGATGACCAAGTGACTTCATCATTCCTTATCATCATTCCAAACTCTCATGATGATATAATTTTCTGAGGATAGTGAAGGTATTGATCCTGAACCACAGTCTGGAATTTTGAATAAATTTCTGGTACTAGAATGCATTTTGTCATTCATCTCCTAGTCTTAGAAGAGGAGGGAGGAGTGGTTAACTACAAATACCAGGCAATCCAGTGTCAATATCTTAAGAGTTCCTTAATATACAGTAGCTGCCCATATTGCTGTACTTTTGGAGAAACTCAGATGTGTGGCAAATTAGTGAAGGTGTTCTGATCACATGCCAATTATTACCTGGCAGCGCCACAAAATTCCCTCCCTTTAATACCACTGGTTGAGCCGAGAGTCCCACCATATTGTAAACTGCTCGATGGCTCTTTAATTGAACATTCCTAACTCATACCAAGTTTCTTTTTTCTTTAGGAATTTTATCTTTTTATAAACTGTGTAATGGCAAAGATGGCCTCCAGCTCAAGATAATCTCTTTTTATTTTTGACCAAGAGAGTCAAAGGGTCTGAGTTTTAATTCTGTTTCTTTTAATCAGGCAATGCCCACTGAGACCCAATCACCTTGCTATCACTGGTGTTCAGCTGTGGCTGACCACCTGCTTTTAGAGCCATCTCATTGTTTCTTTGGGCATAAAGTCACACGACCATTTCTTAAAAATAAAGTCCATACTCTACCTTGAAGATGGAAATAAACAAACATTGAAAAAGGCCACAAAGACTTCAAGTTTATGTTTCATTTCCATGGATGAAAGCTGCTGTAGAAAAATGCATTGTGTCATTATGAAAGTGTATAAAATATTTGGAAACTTCAACAATAAACCATCTCTATTAGTAGGTGGATTTATTGATATAACTGAACATAACAATGTATAACATTTATTCATTTCCCACTGAAAGACTTTTCAGTAAAACTGTTTTAAGTAGAACACAGATCTAGGCATTAAGCATTTTCAGTGATGTTCTACAATTGAAAAGGTGGGGTGGTGGGTAGAACCAGCAGCCTTTTCCAGAATTGCAATGGGACTCAATGTTATCTTGCTGTGCAAAAGAAACAGCTAAGAGATGCAATCTCACAATGAATGAAAAAAGCCAGGAGAACAAAAGGTGCCAGATTGAAACCTGCAGGTTGGAAATAAGAGCGAATAACTCCACCTGTACCAGTATGTTCTGAATCTAAAACAAGCCCTGGCAGCAAACTAAGAATGACAGTCTATTTCCTGTGGTTTATTAAGTTTTGGCCCCACAGATAAGACTGCCAGAAAAGCAGCTGTAGTTTAAGTGGTCTGGACATTTACTCATCTGAACATAAACAAAGATCAGCTCATTTAGATCCCTGGGTCCCTACTCAGCTGTTGGGAGGAGGGCAGGCATGGCTCAATCTAGGCCAAACATAAAAGGAGTGAACTGGGGTGAAGGACCCCTGGCTGTGATGGATTCCCTGAGTCATCAAGACCCTCAGGGGCTTAAGGCCCTAAACAGAAGATTCACTGTTAGCCTTAGCACCATTGTAGTGGCCTCCATGGTACTCCACTGCCAATAAATCCATAACCACAGTGAACATAACCACAGTGGACGCCCTCTTAGTGACTGTATTTTTAGACCACACATAAAATTACTAACGTAAACCAAACCACTACATTTAGTGATAAACATGTACTTCATAAATATCAGGGAACAAAAGTATCCTAAATAGTTGAAAACGACTAAACAAATAAAGAAGCCTAATCCTACATCTAAAACAAAAACATTTAAAAGAAATACTCCAAAAATTAACTAAAAGATAAGATTTAATAACATAGTAAAAACACTAGGTTGTGGAGGGATTAATTGCAAAATATATAATTATTTCACAGTGAAATTTAAGTACTCATAACAATCTTCTAGTTTTAGCGGAAAAAAAGATGCCCACTGATAACACAATTTTTCACATTTGTTTTCCATAATTTCTTCCCCTCTACTATTTCCTACAAAGAAAGACATTAATGTGGTCAAACATTATACTAACGATTGACAATCACCTTTTGTTTTCCTACTAGGAAATTACCTTTATCACTTAGCTGCAACTCAAGAGAATCAGGGCACAGTCAACTGTGTGTCACTGATAAAAACACGAGAAGTACCACATCACATTTATTCCAATCTAAACACACTGTCACAGATGTGGTAAGTGAACTGGAACACTGGAGTTCCCTAGGGGGTTTTCAGTTACATATACATTACATTCTTTTTATCAAATCTGGCATTGAAATTTCCTTTTCCATATATAGGTTTAAAAAAAATAAAATTAAAAAGCCACAGGAGCAACCCTGACAGAGAAGTCTTGCATGCAGCCTCCTCCTGAGAAAGTATGTAATCTTAGTTATCCTCAAAGTCACCAAACGTTCTTGCGCCGTTAATATCAAAAGGCAAATAGCTGAACGGCCGAGTCCAACTAAAACAGTCTGTGGAGTTTATTGGTCAGTTTGTTAAATGTCACAGCTCTTCACATTGTTGAAAAAAAAATTGCGTCTCATTATTTAAACTTTAAGGTATCCTGAATGCTCTATCAGCCAACATAAATGAGTTCCTTGGCAAGTGTGTTAAACTTTACCACCTGTTTACATCACCCTTCTTGGCAGAGACCACCAGACCAGTGGAGTCAGTTGCCAAGCCTCCTTTGTAATGGTAATAAGTTCCTTTTTCCTTAAATAGAAATAAAACTCCTCTGTTTGACACTGAGCAAACAAAAAGCATGCACCCAAATCTCTTTCTGGCCACGTTGGGGGCACAAGCATGCTCTTCTACTCCAAAGAGGCCAGGCTATTACACTGCAATGCTACAAGAGCCATTCCCATAGCTATGCAAGGCCTTCATGTGAAGGCGACCTCGGCACCCCACCACCCATGTGTCCCCTTTGCCCTGACCACCAAGTACTACCCATTTACGCCATCAGTGAGTATAGGAAATTGGGGTATGGTGCCTGAATTGGCCCTCTGTCCCCTTTGGCCTCTCTGGCAAGTTCACAAAAGGTAGGAAGGAGAAGGTTTGCTAAAATAGGATCTTCCCCTGAGGTGGGTTGGTGGGCCCCACGGAGAGGTGGCTCCTCAAGGCCAATGAGATGGTCTCTACTCGCCCGGCAGCCCTGGACCTAGTCAGCAAATCGCTGCAGGAGATGGTCCTCCCGCCTCAAGCTGCCGCCCGCGCCGCCGCCCGCACTGTCCATGAAGCGGTCGCAGGGGAACTCAATGAGGTCCGCCTCGCTGAGGGCGCACACGGTGGCGCGCGGCCGGTGCGACTGGAACCCCGAGAAGTCGGCGGACACGCCGGTGCCCATGGAGCGCAGGGGCCGTCGGGTGGAGTACATGTGGCGAACGTGGACCGGGGCCCCGCCCTTCCGCCTGGCCCGCAGCTTCCTCCGCAGCCAGCGGGACGCCCAGGCCGCCAAGGCCAGGAGCACCAGTAGCGCGTTGACGGTCAGCAGGGCCAAGATGAGCAGCTGGTAGTCGACGCCGCCCCGGCTCCCGGCCTCCGGCAGGGTGACCAGCCCCGCGCAGTGGTCCCGGGGGGCCACGGGGCAGACCCGGCCCCCAAGCACGCCCTCCACGCACACCAGGTAGGGGGTGTCCCCGCGCAGCTCGCGGAGTGTGGCCGAGTCGCTGCGCTCGGGCAGGTAGACGAAGCGGTGGAACTTGGGCTGCTGGCCAAAGCGGTCGAAGAGCAGGCGGAAGCGCGCGCCGCCCAGTGGCCGGGGACTGCGGTGCTCACGCACGGCCCAGCGCACCGAGGCGCTGTCGGCGCCCACCGCCTCCACCGTCAGGTTGCACAGGATGAACTTGTTGAAGTCGCAAGGGTCGGACACCAGTGGCGGCAGACCGACCCCGCCGTCGGACTGCGCAGCACTCTCCTGCTGCTCTGCGGCCAGGCGCTGCTTCGCCACGCGCTGCCAGGGGTCGCGGGGGGCCGATGTCGTAGAGCCGGGAGCTGTCGTTGGGGTGGGCTCCACGTGGGCGGGATCGGCCCGCGTCGGACGTCCCAGCCGGGGCTTCTCGTGCAGGTCCAGGGCATGTGGAGCCAGGCCCGCGGCGGCAGCCACGGAAGGGCCGGGCTGCTGGAGGCCTGGGCCCCACCGGCTCAGCCTTAGGGCACTCCGGTTGCCCACGAGCTCCCTGGCAGCCCCATCCCAGGCCGCCCCAGCTAGAAATCGGCCCCGCTGCTGGGACTGAGGCTGAGGCGGCAGCTCCTCCGCGAGACCATCTGCAGGGGGCGTCATCTCCAACCCGGCGGCAGCGGGTAGGGGCCGCCGCCTGCCCTCGGCGGTCGGGGAAGCTGAAGGCGGAGGATCCACGCAGGACCCGTTCTGCAGCTGCTGGTCATCCAGGTAATCCAGGTATTTGCCCCGCAGGGCCGGGGGATGGCGACACTGCACGAAGACAGTGAGGAGCCGACCCTGCGAGTGCCAGTCGCCCATCCAGCGCTTCAGGCCCCTCAGCCGGCAATCGCAGGTCCAGCCGTTGCCGTCTAGATCCAGCCGGTAAAGGGCTGGGCTGGCGGCGAAGATGTCCCCAGACAGGGCACTGAGCGCGTTGTCGCGCAGGCTGAGCTCGCGCAACCGGCCCAGGTGGCCGAAGGTGGCAGGGTGCAGAGCGGAGAGCACGTTGCCGCTCAGGTCCAGCGCCTCCAGGCTTTGCAGAGGCTCCAGCAGCGCCGTGGGCAGCTGGCTCAGCCGGTTGCCCTCCAGGCGCAGCTCGCGCAGGGCCTCCAACCCCCAAAAGGCCTCGGGCGCGAGGTGTGTGAGCTGGTTGCCCCTGAGCGAGAGCAGGCCGAGGCGTGGCAGGTGCTGGAAGACGCGCGGCCCGAGGTGTTGCAGGCTGTTGGCGGAGAGGATGAGGGTGGAGAGGGAGCGCAGCGGTGCGAAGGTGGCCGCGTGGCGCAGGGAGGGCTGCAGCTCATTGGCAGAGAGGTTGAGGAAGCGCAGCTTGCCCAGTTGGGCGAAGGCGTTCTTGCCCAGAAAGCGGATCCGGTTGGATTCCAGGTGTAGATAGAGCAGGTTGCCCAGGGGGGCGAAGCCTGCGTCCGGCAGCGCCCCCAGGGCGTTCCCGTCCAGCCGCAGCTTGACCAGACTCTCCAGGCCCTCGAAGGAGCCGCGGCTTAGGCGGCCGATCTCGTTCCCGTTGGCATAGAGGATGCGCAGCTTGCGTAGCGGGGCCAGCGTGCCGGGGGCGAGCGCCTGCAGGAGGTTGTTCCCCAGGTAGAGCTCCTCCAGGCGCGAGAGTTTCTCGAAGGTCTTGGGGTGGAGATAGCGGATCTGGTTGTACTGCAAGTCCAGCCGTCTGAGCTGCCCCAGGCGGTGGAAGTCGAAGGCCGTGATGTTGGTTATGAAGTTGCCGCCAAGGCTGTAAGTGAGCACGTCGTGGGGGCTCGGCAGCGAGCTGGTCTTGGGCACGGCGCGGAGCCCCCTGTTGGTGCACAGGAGGTGCTGGGGGTGCTGGCAGTCGCAGCGCTCCGGGCACACGGGCTCGACCCGCGGCGGGAGCGCGAGGCAGCCGCACACCACGAGCAGGAAGCGCACGGCGCGGGCAGCCTCCATCGCCGCCCACCCTGCGTGCTGCCGCCGGATCGTCCTCTTGGCCTGCTGGCTCTGTGTCTCCTCTGCATTCCCCTTGGCCTGGCCAGAGTCGCTAAATGGCCTCTTTCGGACTTCTCTGCGCCGTCCAGCCCCTCCTCCGCCCTTTGTCCGGTGGCTGGTCCGGGTCTCTGCAGGCGGGCTTCGCCCGGCCAAGTCAGGCGGCGCAGGGCGCTCTGCGAGCCCCGGGTGCTACTTGTTGCATTTCTGCAGAAAACTGTTTCTCTGGGTGCGCGTCGGGGGCGGAGGAAGGGAGCAAGACCTGGCGCTTTTTGTTTGCAGCGAAGTCGGGAGAGCTGGATTCCCTGGCGCGGATTCTCCCCGCCGAGCGGATTCCCCAGCTGCAGGCGGGAGCCTTTCCAAGAGCTCCTCGGGGCGCGGCTTGGCTGCTAAGCCCCGGCGGCTCGCCCCCCGCAGCCGGCGCCTCCTCGCTCTGGGTCCCGGACCCGGAGCGCGGCCCCCGTGGAACAGCCCGGGGGGCGCGCGGGCTGTGTCCGGAAGGGACCCAAGTCGGCGAGTAGGGAGCAAACCAGGCGGAAATTCGTTCTTCCCACACTCTGCCCCCGGGGACGCAGGCGGAGAAAGAGGAGACGGCGGAGGGAGGACAGACCCCGGCAGGGGGAGGAGGAAACGCTAAGTGGCTCCGCGTCTGGTCAGCCCGAGCCCGGGAAGCCAAGTGAGAAAAGTAGGGATTAAAAACAGCTGTATGGTCGGACTCGCACGGCTGGGGGCGGGGGAGGATAACCGGGCGAGCAAACGGGATTTGCAGACAGAGACCTTTTTATTTTAGACGAGTATACCAGCCACTTCCGAGCAGTGGGAGCGCGCCTCGCCTTACTCATTTTAAGTCACTTGCTCTTCCAGGTGCCACCCTGCGGGAAGTTTGGGCATCACGCAGTCTGTCAGCATTCTACAGGAAGTTTGGGGGCGCATAAGGGTGCCTGCAGAACCTGGCTGTCGGGGGGCTACTGTCAGAAGAGGCTAGCTAGGTCAACCCATTTTGTCTGTTGCTGAGTTGTACCGGCCCCCTTTTAGGTATCTGAACTGAGTATTTGCTTGATCCTGCTGGAGGCAAGAGCATGAAGAAATCTCAAAACTGGTTCTGCCACCATGAAAGTGTCTTCATCAAATTTTGGTGATTCAGTCCCATTAATTCTGCTCTAGTCTTAGAGCCCTTGGGGTAGGCTCTGCACTTGTGTGTGTGTGTGTGTGTGTGTGTGTGTGTGTGTGTGTGTGTTTATATATATAAAAAATAACCTTCACAGACCCCGTGTAACTGCCTCCTGCAGGGCCCTCCCACTTTATATCTGGGCTTGCAGTGATCTTCATAGTTTTTAGGGCCAAAAGTGCCCAGGCCTGGGTTAGCTGGGGAAGTATTATCATTTATTATCAACTGGGAATGGAGCATTTAATCAATGGCTCCTTGAGGGCAGCCCCTGCTGAGAATGAGAATGGTCAAGGGATAGCTGTTAATTACTGTTTGTTTATGCAAACCATTTTGCTATTATAAAAATAAGGTCCCTTCCTCCCCCCCCCCCCCGCCGACCACCCAAGGTGTTCAGAAAAATGAAATTTTTCAGGACCTACTCTATGCAACAGTGTGGAAAATTAAAGGAAAAGTATAGATCCTCACCTCAAGAGACTGATAATCTAGTGGGAAGGGCCGTGCATTGAAAGGTTAAATAATGATTAAGGGCAGTGATATGAGAAACCCATAAAGATACACATGACTTTTAATAATGTCAATGTTTGGCAATGAGGAATTGCCTCTTTTAGCAATTAATATAGGCAAGTGATAGAGGCAAGTTCTGAATTTACACAAAAACGAGATCGTTGGCAGGCTAGTCAGAGAAGACTTCATGGGTGAGCAGGGACCTTGGCTTTAAAGGGAGATGGGTCAAGGTGCAATGGCAGTACCAGGAGAGAAGAGCTGAGGGATGGAACTGTGGGAGTCCCCATGATGGGCGCCTGGCCCTGAGAGCGTGGGGAAGGCTTCTAGAAGAAGTGGGGAAGCCTCTGCTGAGTTTGACAGGTGAGTGGTGTTGTAGAGGAAGATGAGCAGGTACTGGAGAAGAGGAAGCCTGGGGACACCTGCAAGGAAGGAATTTAGGAACTTCCAGATCTTCTGTCTGCATCTTTGGGGCGAGACTTGTTACTTGTATTCTTTAACAGTGTCATACAACCTAGCTTGTACAAGGACTTGAAACAAATATTCCTTTATTGCCCTTTAAGGATTTCAGCAGGCAGTTGATGTAATCATATTTGCACTGCGACATCAAGACGAATCTTTGCCTAAATAAACAAAGTAGGTACCATACAAAGAAAATGTTGTCTACCTAGCTCTGGCCTTTTATGTCCTTGAAATCTGTGACAGTGATATGTGTGAGACATGTGGATAGAATATCCAGAACAAGGTATTATTCACTTATCATACATACATAGACATTGTATAGATATACACCATCCTTGAACCCGGGCAATGTGGGCCCCAACCCTGGACCTTGTGTTTTAGAGAGCTGTGTTCCAGTCCTCCTCTGGCTGTGCCTCTCCCCATAACAGCAGGATCTTAGGCCTCCAAGGGGGTGTGCTCATCTACAGCCCACACCTCCCCTTCTTATGCAGGGCTTCTTGGACCCTGGAATTCCTTGCCTAAACTGCCCAAGTCTGTATAAGCCTTTTCCTTATCTGTTCTCCCAGGGGCAATCATGCCACAAGTGTATAAACTCCTAGGGCAAGGGAAGACCAGGGGGCAGCTGTGCAAAAGGAATCTGGAGATGTGAGCTCAGGTTTCCACTGGGAGGCCCTGAGAGACCCCTGGTAACATAGGAGCCAGAACTTGGAAGGGGAGCTGTGGGACCTCCTTTCACACTCCAACCTCAAATGTTGGAGACAGGCCTGCCCATATGTAGCATTTTGGGAGGGAAGAAAGTACATGGGCTTTGATTTAGAAAGAACAAGGAGAAAAATTGCAGGAGTTTGAAGGAAAGCATTTTTTAGAAATGTAAACTCTACTTTATTGTAACATAGGCTATGCCTAATTTTCTATAAAAAGCAATGCTTTTTAGTAAAAGCGAAGACACAATTGTCTCTATTTAAATGACCATCTCTTAACTATATAATGTCTTTGTTAATGGAGGATTCAGCCTTGATCAGTTTCCAGGAGATTCAAGTATTGATTACACTTGAAGGTATAATTTACGTAATCACAACTGGGAATCCAGGAAGGAATGCAGTTCATAAGAGAAACAAGAGCTTCATCATTTTACTTTTGGAAAGCTCGCACTTTAAGTCTCACCTGCTCTGGGGGGTAGTTTCAGAGGTCAGAAGCACAAACGAATTTGGGCTGGTTCCATGACATATATGCGGTGTAAGGATTCTCAGATGTTCTTGCACAGGCATGGAATCCTCTTGGGCTTGCCAGGGTTGTATACCTGTGTCTTCCCAAGCGACCTGTCGTTCCCTTGAACCGCAGCTACAGAAGCATGAAGGATTCCAGGCTATGTCTTCAGCAGCTCCCGGAGCTGGCAGGAGTTGATCCAGGCACTGTCCTGGTGCAGGGTAGGTTAGGGAGAGGAGAGCTCTGGCTGGGCTCCCCGCTGCATGGAGGTCGGGTGGCAGAGGAGGCCAAGCCCTGTTGGAGCAACATCCTGGAGCTGACTCAGGGCAGCCTGCAGGGATGGCAGCTGTTTCCTCACCTCGTGCGAGCCAACCGCAGACACGCAGTATGGCCCCTGACACAGATGAAGTAGGAAACGGGAGAGTCCCCTGTGGTCCCTCGGCATATTATCACATGACCCCTGAAGCTGTCTTTCTCTGTCTAAATGAGCTGCATCTCAGCCCCAGCCTAAGAGACAAGTTTCTTTTCCTTGGGGATCAGGAACGTGAATGAGATAACCACTGGTTTACAGGGTATCTGCCAATTCTCCACTTTTTCCCCTTTGAGAAATGCAGGAATGCAGGTCCCTGGCTAGGTACCAGCCTTATTAAACCAGAATCTCTGGGCAGCAGAGCCATGATATCTGCATTTGTAAGTTCACTAGATGATTTTTACACATGCTCAAGTTTGAGAAAACTGATAGGCAGTAATACCTCAGAGCACCTATTTATGACTGGCTGATCATATTATAATAACAACGAAAATATAGCAATCACTGGCACTGATGTAGTGCTTACTGAGGGCCAGGCAGTGATCCAAGCACTCTACATAAAATAACTCATTTATTTCCATAACTACCTTGCGAGAAATGATTATTATCCCTATTTTACAGAGGAGCTTTTTAAAGATACAGGATCCTAGGCCCACCCCCAGAGAATCTGATTTGGATCCTTCAGAATAGAGCCTAGAGACTTTATTTAGCATGTCCCCAGGTATTGTCTAGTGAGGACCCAAGCTTTGGAACCACTGACTGGAAGTTTTAAGGGCTTATTGAGACATTTCAGTATCTCCTCTGCTAGGAGGCTGCGGGTAGAAAGAAGAAGAAGACCAGGCCCATGCCTTCAGAGAGTCCTGCATGGCTGGGAAGATAAATGTATGTAAGACCATCGTGCAGGAGGATGGTGCCATCACAGATAAAGACAGTGAGCATGATGTGCTGTAATCGCAATTATCTTTTGAAAGGAAAATCATAAAGAACTAATAAACCTTTGTGAAAAGTGAACACTGTATGTGTTTCAGGCCATTCACAAAGTGAATCCTTCCAGCAGTCTGGATTTTTATGTCTGAGGAAAACCCTTATCCGTCAGTTCAAAGAAGCCTGATTATTTGAAACCAACATGTATAAACAAATTGTGTATCTACAGGAATTACAGTGAGCTGTAAGGCCCTCTGGCAAGCCGAAAAGGAAAGGCAGATGTTGACTGAGCATAATGACTTAGGAAATAAGGCAAATCCACATGCTGTTTATGGTTACAGTATGGAGTTTGTTTATATGTAACTGAAATTTTACAGCAGTAATATAATGTTGTCTTCCCCTAGAATG